GGTAGTCGGTAGACAGCATGGCAGCAATAATGGTTTTGGTAGTGAAGTGGTGCTAGATAAACCCGGGGGCAACTTGACAACTCCAGTATATTGCCAGTGAGCCCCGACAATTTGGTGCTGGTGGTTCTGTCAAACTCACAGATTTCAAAAGGGTTATCTGAATAGGGCGATTTTGGAAATGATGTACAATAAATAAAATCCAAGCTTGAAATTCATATCATTGTCGCGCACCCACCAAACCGGAACGCTGACGTCAAAATAAACATTAGTGACCAGTGTTGGGAAAATATCAAAAAATCAAGATCACGCTTCAAAAAGCAAAACTAAAATCAAAAAGCAAACAACTGTGGTTGATTTTGCAAGCTGTGATATTGCAGCTCAGAATATCAAGCTAACAAAACTCACCAGCTGCAAATCTCAACAAACTGTAGTGAGATTGAGTTTCATGATTTTTGCTTTACACCCGAACGCAACCGAAACTTCAATAACGGCTGGCAGCAGCAGTTACTTCGTGTCTGCCATCGGTGAAGACTAAAAAGAGATAGCAAGCCATACTTTCTCTTTCCAAGAAAACGATGTGCAACAGAATCATTTTTGTTTCGAGTCAACTCTCGTCTTGATTTTTGCACGTTGTGAAATAGTCTCGCAATATCAAAGGAGCTGGTAAAATCAATATCAAGCATAATATTTTGTTCCAATATCACACGTGATATTGAGAGCGTATGAGAGCGGAAAAATATCAATTGATTGATGATTTTTCCAACACTGTTAGTGACATAGGGGTTTGTGGATTTTCCTATGTTTCGAGGGATGCATCGATTAGCTTGGGACCGAAGAGAGTACCAGACCTGAACCAAAAAGTTGAGCACGTTTCTTCGGGACCTTCTGGTCTTCAAGTTACCTCTATGGAGATACTAGTACTGCAAAATGTACAATTTGAGATACTAGAGTACAGTCAACCAGTGGAAACTAACGATTTTAAATTGGCTCACTACTTGACTAGCCTATTGGTCCCAAGCAAACGATTAACGTACCCCATTCTAGTCGAAATTCTAGTACTACGCAATGTTTGTTTTGATTCGCTATGAAAGTTCAACAGATAAAATGAGGGGTTAGTGGATTTTCCTATGTTTCGAGGGGTGAATCGATTAGCTTGGGACCGAAGAGAGTACCAGAGCTGAGCCAAAAAGTTGAACACGTTTCTTCGGGACCTTCTGGTCTTAGAGTTACCTCTATGGTACAGTGGTGAACTTTGTGCGTCTTTCGAAGGCCTTAAATGCATTAAGCTAAATATGTAATATATCATGTAATTTGAGTAATTCTCAATTTCATAAGTTTACTTTACTTACCCCATAAGAAAAACACGGGAAAGTAAACATTTTTTTTTTACTGGTCCAGGACAAGCCTTCATTGCACAATTATGCTCAAAGCAATAATCTGGAAGATAATCAAATTCAAGAGCAAAAAATAACTGAAGAAACCAAAGTATTTTAATTGCCATTCGATGATATAAGAAGATGAAACTCGGTTCAATTTGTATGGATTTATTTATTTCATTTCACCACGAAAATTATAAATTAGCTCTTTTCATATGGCATTCTTGTGACACAAAAGGTTGGTTTTCCATGGAGAAATACCATAGAGGTAATTCTAAGACTAGAAGGTCCCGAAATAACGTGCTCAACTTTTTGGCTCAGCTCTGGTACTCAGCTCTCGGTCCCAAGCTAATCGATTCACCCCTCGAAACATAGGAAAATCCACTAACCCCTCATTTTATCTGTCAAACTTTCATAGCGAATCAAAACGAACATTGTGTAGTAGTAGAATTTCGACAAGAATGGGGTACGGTATTCGTTTGCTTGGGACCAATAGGCTAGTCAAGTAGTGAGCCAATTTAAAATCGTTAGTTTCGTATTGATTGTTGGAAATACCGTTGCGCGGTGAAGGACAATCCTTTATTTGTTTGTGGCGACATCTACTATTTGCAAGTGGGTACGTGAAACTAAGGTTATCTGTCACCTTGCCGGGGACTTGTGCTAGATGGTGAACAATTTGAGGTAGTGGAAGAAATTGTGTATCTTGGAACACTAGTGACATGCGATAATGATGTTACCCGCGACGTATTGCAGCTGCAAACAGGACCTTTTAAGGATTACGTGAAGTTGGGGCCTCCCTTAGCTTAGTCGGTTAAGGCGCAGCTGCAAAGCAAGACCATGCTTGAGGTAGCTAGGGTTCGATTCCCGGTTCGGTCTAGACATGTTTCGGGTTGGAAAATATCTCGACTTCTCTGGGCATAGAGTTATGATTGTACTTGCATTATACTAATGCAAAAATGGTACAGGCATCGAAAGCTCTCAATTATTTTTTTTTCCTCGGTTCGGGACCTAACACCACTGCGACCAGTAATTTGATCTATTGTAGTATATCCCGTGTCTTTAGTTTAGTGCATGTCGTATTACCAACAATCAATACGAAACTAACGATTTTAAATTGGCTCACTACTTGACCAGCCTATTGGTCCCAAGCAAACGATTAACGTACTCCATTCTAGTCGATATTCTAGTACTACACAATGTTTGTTTTGATTCGCTATGAAAGTTTGACAGATAAAATGAGGGGTTAGTGGATTTTCCTATGTTTCGAGGGGTGAATCGATAAGCTTGGGACCGAAGAGAGTACCAGAGCTGAGCCAAAAAGCTGAGCACGTTATTTCGGGACCTTCCAGTCTTAGAGTAACCTCTATGGTATTACCATAGAGGTAACTCTAAGACTAGTAGGTCCCCAAGAAACGTGCTCAACTTTTTGGCTCAGCTCTGGTATTATCTTCGGTCCCAAGCTAATCGATTCACCCCTCGAAACATGGGAAAATCCACGAACCCCTCATTTTATCTGTCAAACTTTCATAGAGAATCAAAACAAACATAGTGTAGTACAAGAATTCCGACTAGAATGGGATACGTTTATCGTTTGCTTGTGACCAATAGGCTATTCAAGTAGTGAGCCAATTTCAAATCGATAGTTTCGTATTGATTGTTGGTATAACTCCATCACTATTGAGAAATGATGAAGTATTCGATTTTTTTACAGTTGTCATTCTTGCATTTATCGCAAGGATCCGACTCTAATTGAAAGGTTATACCATTCGAAGTGTTGAAACACCCTCCAAAGGCGCGCCCCTTTGTCAGTCAAAATTGGATTCCTTAACAACAAAATTAAGGAATGACACCGGTAATGACCATGCATCAGAACCCTAGTCTTAACCACTTCAAACTAGGGAACAACGAATGGAAGATTAGGAATCACATAGATGAAGACTAACTAACTATTTTTTTCCTCATTTCAAGATCATCCTCGATGGACAAAGCCGAGTCTTGTCACTATCAACAAGACATGAAAAGTAACAAGGACTATGATGTATTCCTTGGATTACTGAAAAATCCTATTCCCCTAGTTTGAAGTAGTCGAGACTAGGAATCGGTGGTAGATCTTACATCCCGTAACGTACCACGAAAAGGTGATCTACCCACGTTACGGGGCTCTCAATCAATAACTGTGGAAGTGCATCTAGAACACTAAGTTGAGAGCACGCAATAAGCTAATATGCGATAAGCAATAAGCTTCAAATGCGAAGAAGAAAGTGAAGTCCCGTAGCTTGCAAACGAAAACGTAATTTTCTTTGTATAAGACACTGATACTTCCGGTGGCCCTCTACGGCCATGAATCGTAGACGTTAAAGGAGACTGACCGGAGAGCATTTGGTGTCTTCGAGTGTAAGGTGCCGCGAACAATACTCGGTGGTAAACAAGAAAATGGCATCTGGCGGCGTCGCATGAATCACGGATATAGTGAAGCTTATAAAACACGGCAGACTACGATGGGCTGGGCATGTAGTGCGGATGCCGGAAGAACGACAAGCAAATATTATATTCAGCAGAGAACCCGGTAGAGGTCGTCGACTCCGTAATGTAAATGCATTTCCACAGTTATTAACTGAGAGCTTTCGATGTCTGTACCATTTTTGCATTAGTATAATTGTGTGGCAGTACAATCATACTATATGCCCAGGGAAGTCGAGAAATTTTCCAACCCGAAAAATTCCTAGACCGGACCGGGAATCGAACCCAGCCACCTCCAGCATGGTCTTGCTTTGTAGCAGCGCCTTTGCCGACTGAGCTAAGAGCGGCCCCTAGTTGAGGAGGACATCAGGTCGCTAAAAGTTCGTGGCGACTGGAAGCGATTGGCTCAGGACCGAGTTCAGTGGAGAAAACTACTTCGTTCGGCGCAGAATCACCAAGGCGATTCGTAGCCCATGAAGTATCAAGTAAGTAAGTTTTAAAAATAAACTTGCAGTCTGATAGTCTGCATCTATGTTTAGTAAAAAAATGATAAAAGTGGGACTGGCTTGAAATTACATTTAATGTCAATAAGAAAAATAACCGCAAGTCAGTTATTTTGTCATAACGATGCTGCATTAGTTTAGCATAGTATTGAACAGTAGAGTGATACCATGGTCTCATAGAACGCTGTTAAATGTTTTTGGAATCTTTCCGCTGGTTTCGAAGCTATGGACGGAACATATGCTGGCGAGTAATGGCTCTTGAAATCAATAATTTTAAAGAAGTACCAGCTGAGGCATAACATCACTGATCAGTAAAGCCATTGGTCCCCGGTTCATGAGTTGATGGGTCGATAGGTAGGGTCCAGGTGTGGGAGCTGCCTCCCTGGCGTCGGTAACATTGGTGCTCAGCACGGAAAACAAGATCGACGGAAAACAAATCAAAGGAAAAAAAGAACGTGCCAAACCCACCATGTCAGTTTACATGAAAATAAGATCAATAAGACTCATGGTAATGATGAGTAACCAAAACCATGTTGGCCACATCCGCACATGAGAAGTGGTAAAACCTTTTTAAATCAAAATCCATGATACGACACATTAGATTCCAAAGCCATAGCCATTGGCGGTCATACTGAGGGTTATAAGAACTATATTGGCCACATCTAACATGTTGTCTAACATTCTTAACTTTATAGAAGCAAGCCTAAAAACACAGAACCGAAGGGGAAGTGCAAACAAATCGGTGAATCATAAAGTGGTTCGTTTTTCTGCTCAACAAGCGATGTTTTGTGGTAGCGTTCCACGCGGACTTTCTATGCGCAACTGAAACTATCTTATCATGCTGCCTATCTTGTTTTTCATTATTCTTGAACAAACCACCTTTTTTCAATAGCACACCTAAACATAGACAGATAAACTGAGTAATGGTGCTCACTGAAAATTAATAAAAAATACAGATGGGACTGACTTGCGGTTACCGGCAGTAAACATCCTGTTATACAATCCCCACTATTCTGCGAGTCACGTGACTCTCTCTCACCGCTGAGGTGACAATTGTCACCTCGTGTGAGGTGACTCTCCATTTGATTTGCACGGAGAGTCACTTCACCGTTGACAGTGAGTCACGTGACTCGTAGTATGAGGAGGAATGTCACGCGAGTACAACGCAACCAAAAATGTAAGAACTGAAAAGAACCATGACTTTGTTCCACGCAATCTGTATCCACTCCCATCATAACAAAAAATAAATAAATAAGCGAAAAACGACAAAACATTTTCAAATGAAAAAAATCGACGTCCGCAAATTTTAACATAGGTAAACATAAAAAGGATTCTTCTTCAACTACCGCGGTCAAAATAATAAAAAACGTAAAACGAAAACCATTTCATGTGTGATTGGTACGAACTTTGTTATTACATTAGTTTTCTTCTCCTAGTAGGTATCATCTCATCGTCATCATTAGCTTTTACGATTCTACGTGTTTGTTTTAGGTATCTTTTGTTCTTCTTCTTTTTTTTTCTAACAATCGTTGCTGCTTTTCACTGTTCTCTCTATGCAGTAATTTCCACCGAGAAAGGGAAAAACAAAGCCAAACTTCACAACGTGTTTTTCATTTTCTGCCTTTTCCTCGGGAAACTACTTAAAAACCACTAACAAGAAACGCGAAACCCGCACAAAAAAAAAATTCATTGTGGAAAACTAAATAAACAACAATAATAATTATTAATTTAAAAATAATAATAAAGATAATAGAACGAACCGGAAGAAGAGGGGACAGGGCGGTTGAGAAGACGGGTTAGGGAAAATAGATTAAGGAAGGTTGGTAGGTAGTAGCAGTACACAAGTGCTGTTCGGTAAAACATAGCTACTGAATCACAATTTTAACTCTATATCGAAATAGGAAAACACACACACACACACATTGCATGGCATAGTGGTGGCACGGTGCATGTGTGGATGTGTCTTGTTGAATTATTATTGCTGTTGTTGTTGTTGTTGATGTCATAGGAAAACTTGCCAAACTACATCATCGAACTGGTTTGCATTCGTGTGATCCCGTTTCCCGGAGAGGGGGAAAATTTGATTTTCTTCCTCCGAGAATAGATCGTCCTGGTGCTGAATTTGCTCGTTGGTTCTAAAATTTAAAACATGTTCCTTCAACAACGATTTGCCTTTTCGCGTTTCACTATCTCACTTTCCCTTACTAAATGTATTTACTAAACACAACATAAATTATAGTCAATCCTACTCGTTTAAAGGTAGTTCAATTAGGTTTGCTCGAAAAAGGAAGGCTGCTTCACGCATCAAACGGTTGTTTGTTGTTTTTTTTGTTCTATGTAATTGTTTGTCTGTTGTTTGTTGGATTGGTTTGAGGCCTAGCATGTGCTGCTGTGCTGTCAGTGGTTTTTTCATCTTCTTTCTTCTTTTGGATTATGGGATTTGCTTTGCCTTAGATAGTTTCGATCTTTGTAGTTTTTTTTTTACTCTTATAGAATTAGAATTCTGTTGGATTCTTATATTTTTGTTTTGCATTTTGCTTCTCTTTCTCTCTTTTGTTAGGGGATAAATCACATTTTGGTCAGAGATTGGTTTGAAGCTGCAAGGCTCCGCAGCACGCAGCCCCGCCCAGCAGGAAAATGGTACCGGCCCCGGCGCCAACACTAGCCGTCCAACGTATCCACTATGCCGTTGTCTGGGTGTTGGAAGTCTGCTGGGTGCTGCCACCACCGCCGTAGCCGACGCCGCAACCGATCACACCGACGCTTCCGGTACTGCTGCCACTGCCGCCGCCGCCGCCACCCGGACCACACGTCTGCATCATTTGTTCTTTATTACTACTAGAAACATTATGACTATTATTTACACTGCCCGATTCTAACGGTTGTTTACAGATTGGCTGCGCCGTCGCATCGCCATCTATGAGCGAGTGCATCGTCGCGACGCCACTATCACTACTGCTGCTATTATTGTTCTCCACACAGGGTCCTCCTGCCGACGCCGACGCCGCCGTCACCGACGCACTACTCACACCGATCGATGCCGTCGAGGTGGACGTCGCCGATACCGAGCCACTGTCCGCACTGTTACTGCTGGGCTGCTGTTGGTTACTGCTGCTGCTGTTGCTGCTACTGTTGGCGGACAAAGGTACTGGATCGTCGGTTAAACGTAAAGCAATTTCTAGATCACGTAAAACTTCGGTTTCTTTGGGTTCTATTAGATTGAAACGCCTGAAAAGAAGAGGGGACAGTGCGTTAGATGCTTTTCGCCATGACCTAATCTTCTACTTCCTTACCTATGCAACGCGGTCAGATGGGCGAAGGTGAGATTGAGGTGGGCATGGAGCCCGAGCAGGGCCACCTCGCGGAAGTGCGCCGCATACAGGTGCGCGATCACATGGAACAGTAAACGTAAAATTTTTCTAGCAATACTCTCGAACGAACTAGGAAACTCATTGGCATATTTGGTGGGAAATATCGACTCGTCGCTGACGGTTTTCTGCGTGAACGTCATCACGTAGTCGATGTACTGGGGCGCCGCGACGCGCGTCTTCTTGCCCTTCTCGTCGAACCATAGGTACATTCTGCAAGTATTCAAAGAGATAACAGGAAGGTACGGTTATTAGTGAATGCATTAAATTTTACGACTTTATTCTAAAGCTTTTGGGAAAATCGACCCAAAAAGAAAGCTTCCGCATTTTTGCTTGAACGATGAGATGGGTACGGAGAGAGGGTGTGTTTGTGTGTATGTGCATGGCAGGCAACAGAGATTAAACGGCTGTTCGATATGTGGTCATATGTATTCAAATTAGTAGCAATTTGCATGTGCTTGTTTCTTTCGGCGTGCACTGCGTTTATATTGGAATTAGGAACGACAAATACAAATAGGTCTTTGTTTCGGAAAGTATGGATTTAGAGAAGGCAAGGCGTTGTTATGTTATGAGCGTTTAAATATCTGAATAACTTTGGCTTTGTTTGTTCATATGTGTTCTCAACTGAAAAGAAGAGGCAATTAGAGTTGATGGTAGTATCTAAGCATCCAGGCAGCCACCGCAACGTGGATTAATTCATATGACGAATAACTTACGTATAATTGAACATATCCGTCTTTTCAGATTTCATGTTACAGGGTGACCAGCAAAACCAGATTAGAAATTTGCCGGCTTATTCCCGGAATTTCAGAAATTTACCCATACATACCGTATGCGTGATAATGTTTGCACCATCGTACAAATAAGGCTCCCGTTTCACCTGTGCATACAATGCCTTGGTTTTCTTTGCATGCACGTAACCTATAGCTCATACCGTAGTAGGCTGTGTATAAAAGAAAATGATTTACTTAGTTTGACAGTTGCACCATAACAAAGTGGCAGCGTATTCGTAATTTGTCCCACGCGCAAATGTCGCAAAAAGACATTTCAATCGCCGTGGGAGTGTCCCGGTGGACCTTCAAAAGGGTTTTAGACCGAGAAAAGAAAGGACAACTATCCGCGAAGGTGGTCACAGGTCGTCCGAGGTCAGCTCGGGTTCCAAGGGTTATCGCTGCTATTTAAAGGAAGATTCCGGTGAATCCAGTGCGTTCAATAAGGAAAATGGCAAAGGAACACGGGATCAGTGACTTTACGGCACGCAAGATCGTAAAGGAAGATTGCGGGGCGAAGTCGAGGGCACGGAAAAAACTCACAGGATTACCAACCGCATCCGGGAGCTACGAGTCGAACGATGCAAGAAAATCTTGAACTTCCTTAGGCGAAAAAAATCCGGTAATCCTGTTCACCGACGAGACCATGTTTACCGTCGATCCCGTATCAAATTCCTGAACCGACCGGTATATTAGTTCTCTTCCGATAAAAGACGTGGCCGGCGAGCACAAGAACGTGTATCTGACCAAGCATCCTGCTAGAGTTATGGTGTTTGAATTAGTGGCTTCCGATGGCAAAAAAAAATGGACCCGCTGTTCATTCCAGAAGGCGACAAGGTCAACACGGAGGTCTACATCGGAATTTTAAGTAAGTATGTTCTTCCGTGGATCAAAGAACAGTATGGTCCGAAGCCAAATGTTGTATTTCAACAAGATAGGGCTCCGTGCCACACCTCGAACACTCAGAAGTGGTTGCAGGAACACCCAGCCCCGATCTTAATCCGCTGGATTACTCAATATGGCGCGTCATGAAGGCCAAGGCCTGTTCTAAACGCCACCCGAGTACAGCAAGCCTCAGACAAACATTGACCCGTACCTGGAGATAAATGGATCCAGACTACATTATTAGAACCTGTCGTGCATTCCGGAAGTGTGTGGAGGCCATAATAGCAGCAAGTGGAAACTCGATCGATGATTAACATAGTTTAAGACTCTGAGAAACATCCCCCCTTTGAATAAATAAAAAAAAACTCGAAAACGAAATTTTTGAGAATTGTTTTAATTTAGACATTGCTCAATAGTGCAAACATTATCATTAATAAGGTACGTAGAAAAGCAATCATTTTTGAGATAAATAAGTTTACAGATAAAGAATCATGGCGTAAATTTTCTGAAATTACTACATAACTCAAAAAATTAATTTTTCCTTCATGTTTAAAATAAATGATAAATGGATGAATAGTTGCTTGCTGATTATTCCAGTGATGACTTTGTACTTCGTCTTGTCATACAAATGTGTAGTTTTCTGAAAAATCACATATTACTACAAATTCACCTTTCTGTAAATTTTGTTTTGTTTTCTGCAAAAAGATAGTCTGCTGTTGTTTTATAAAATCATGAGGTATTAATTTCTCTAATTTTCCAATTAAATAGGAAACAATTCATCCGGCTTTTTAACTAATGTTTCTATATCACATCTGTCGGTTGTGACCCGTTGTTAAAATTGTATTTCTTTAATGCCTTTTTCCACGATTTCTTCCAATAACTTTTGTTCGAAAAAAGATGAACCCATGCAGTTTTCACAGCATCGTAGGCAGCAATCTATTGCTTTTCTTTCACATAACAAACTATCTGTAATCTACTTCAAATCAATGGACAAATCAAATTTCTTTAAGTTGTGAATTATGTGTCCCTGAACTAGTTATCAATTTACAGTTCTTAGGCCTGAGATTCGCAAAGGTTGAAAACCCAACTTGTACTTCACTATTTAATTCTTTGAATCGGTTGTAGGACTCCCGTAAAGTGGTCGTCATTAAACTTTTTTGAACTGACTGACGCTTACCATCTTTTCTTATTGTTACGCAATCTCTGATGGTTTCATCGTCTTCAAAAAACTGCAGAACAAGTTCCTTCGTATCATCACTCAATCCACTGCCTAACCTCGAAGTAATAGTGGAGTGTACACCTTTATCGTTTAAAAATTTTTTAGATTGTGTTGCCATATACCTGGTTGTGTTAAATGTGTCCATAATTTTCTGAACTGTCCATGATCTAGGTAATACCGTCAAGAGCTGAAATTTCTCAGTTTTCGTTGTATCTTCTTTCGAAAACTTTTCTGTTAGCTGTTCAATAATTTCATTAAAATCGTCAGTTTTGTTATCATCTAAGTTTGCTACTGCATTAAGTGCAATTATGTGCTTTCTAATTCTTTGATTAATTTCATGATATTTCCTCACAGCATAATTTACACAACAATTTGTTTTTTTTTCATATCAATTGGTGATGTCAAAATACTAGATATAGCTTTGTTGAAAAGTTCAATATTAACGCCACATTGAACATTAGAGGCGATTGTTTCTACCGATGTCAATGATAGTAGAGTTATTAAAGATTCCTGACTTGAAACATTCATGTTGATATCTTGTTCATCGTAGTTCGATAACTCGTCGCTACTTGATAGTTCGGTACATTTAGAAAGCTGTATAACGTTTGAATTTAAAAAAAAATTGACACAAATTGTCGATTTTTCATGGGTTTACCTTCACCCGCACTGACGAAACTACCCATGCAGCATCAATCATAGTAACCCATGAGTCAGCAGACAATATTTGACAGCTCTATCAGTCGAACTCTAACCGTGATGGCAAAAACAGTGAAGCAACTCCGTTCAGAAGTGTGCGCGTTCAAAGAACGGCACCCCGCCGCGTCGAAAACGGACATCGTGCGGCACTTTGTGGACGCTGGATACGCCCGTTTCGGCATCTACAACATCTTGGTACTATTAGACAACAATCAGAGCATCGAAAGAAAGCCCGGTTCCGGACAGCCGACGACCCTAAGCAACAAGAAGCTCCAAAGGATGTTGAAGAGGAAGACCGAGAGAAAAGTGGCTACATCGCTGCGTGCGCTTGCCAGGGAGGTCGGTGCAACCGGCCAAACAGTGAAAAAGTACCTGGCGAACATGAACATACATGTCAGGAAGCGGAAGTCACGTCCACTGGTTTCGGAGCTGCAGGCTGTGGCTGAATAAGATGGTCAACTCGTTTTTCCCAGCGAATCGCGACGTGGCGGTGGTGATGGACGACGAGACATATCTCACCCTGGATGGCAACGACTGGCAGGGCACTTCATATTTTTCTTCCCCCACGAAGGAAGTGAGCTCCGAGGTGAAGTTCATTTCACACACCAAGTTCCCCTAGAAGGTGCTGCTGTGGCTGACAATCAGCGAGAAGAGGATGTCAAAGCCGCTCTTCTTTCGCTCCGGACTGGCCGTGAACGGGGAAATTTATAGTACGAAATGCCTGCCGGAAGTTGCGTCGTTCATCAAGAAATACCATAAGGGCGAAGACGCGGTGTTCTGGCCGGATCTGGCGTCAGCCCACTACTCGAAGCGATCGTTGGAGGAGATGGAGCGACTGAATATCGATGTGGTACCCAAGTCGGTGAACCCGCCCAACGTCCCCCAGCTGCGTCCCATCGAGAATTTCTGGGCCAACCTGAAGCGTAAGATCTACTCCAACAATTTTGTCGCGAAAACTGAGGAGGAATTGATAAATAAAACAAAGAAAGAACTCAAAACCTTCCTACACGCATGTTTTCGTCCGCCATGGCAAATATTCCGGTTAATGGACCGGAAGGCCGCTCGCAAGGGCGTAGAATTTTTTTGCAAGTAAGCTTAAATAATTACCTTCCATGGGAAATTTATCAAAAGAAATTATCTGTTTTAGCTTTTTTTATCACCATCCGAAAAAGTCCATTTTTTAATGCAAACGTTACGACAAGAATCACACATTTTTAATTTACTGTTAAGTTTGTTCTGTTCCGAAAAACCCAGATCAACCAATTTCTGTTAGTATCCGTAAAATTTCGGCAAATTTTTTATACACTTATAATGAAAAGTATTCATTTTAACTACCACTTCGTCTTCTGAATTACTGAACTTAAGCAGGTCACTTAAAGAGTTTTAGTGGTAGTTATTGGCAAAAGATGGATTTCATAGGACCACTCTAATGACAAATTTAAATAAAATGTGCTAGTACATTTATTTCAGTAGTTGGACATTTAGTATCTTCGAAGAAGTTTTTGTTCTTAAAAACTCCCTTCTTTTGGTGTTTGCAAACGTCAGGGTGGTCCTCAAATTAGGGAATTTTTAAAACTAACTTTTATGTTTTACAAAATTAAAACATGTGTTGTTTAAAAAAGTTGTTGCAAGCAACTTTGTCG